AGCCCCCCCCCCCATTACTGCAGAATGGAAACATTGATACCTGAAACGTTCCGAATTACGCCATGTGACGACTGCCATTTTATCTTTTAAACTTAACAGAAAAGCCCACGCCTGGGATCATCATCGTGTTGGACATCTCAGAGTGTCCAACATGGTGGCGGGATGTAAAAGATCCAGGGGCCATTTCTGCATGATAATGTTGTGTGGATTAAAAAAACAAATACTTCCATTACTCCAAAGTAATATTTATTCTTGATGTATCTCGCTCGGCAAGACGCCTCAAAGCGCTTTGCAAGATTCCGCTATGAGGTGTCCCTGTAGTTGTGTGGGCAAATTTTAATGTGCAGAGTAGTTATTACCTAATTACTTTAGTTATTGTGTAACTTTCAATTGGCATCAAATGTTGTTGTCTTGAGAATTTTGAGAAGACTAAGTTCAAATTGAACTGTTTCTCATTTGTGGTTTTGACTGATAAACTATTCACAAGGCTGGTATAAAGGCTTCTTGGTTAAACAATTTGCAGTGATTTTTGGTTTTGTATGTTTTAACTCTTAATTTTCTACAATTAAAACGTCTTGCTTCTGGAAAAGGTCAAATGGATTTTGTCTAGTAGTGTAAAGAACAATCTTAGGAGTGAAGTGTTTTTGGAGAGGGAATGTAGGCCAAATGAAAACAGTGTGGCATCTGGATATTGATTTCCTTGGCAGTGACTATGCACACGTCTAGTATTTCTGTGGAGAGGTTGGCTCATGGGGCAGCACATTGGTGTTAACTCCCATTTCCACTTAATGTACCAAACTGGTGTTAAATCCCTTAATAGGTAAACACATGGATAGTTTACTCAATACTGTTGACCACTCTATCTTCCTCCACTGCCTCTCCTCACCTCAACCTTCATGGTTCTGTCCATGAATGGTTCAGATCCTACTTCTCACACCGTCTCCACTTCCATCTCCACAAACGGCTTCTTCTCTAGCCCCTGCACCGTCTCATGCGGCGTTCCTCAGGGTTCTGTCCTTAGTACCCCTCTTTTGCAATATCTATATTCTCCCTCTTGGCGACATCATCCATAGCTATGGGGTCAATTTCCACATGTATCTGGATGACACCCAACTCTATCTCTCTGTCTCCATCCACGCCTCCAGGACCACTGCTGTCCTGACAGAATGTCTGTCAGACGTCAAGTCCTGGATGAGAGCTAACTTTCTACAGTTGAATCTCAACAAATCTGAGGGGTTCCTGATTGGCTTCCATCAGTGCCTCCACACCTCAGGCACCATCCATGATGCACACTTCACCTCACTGAGCCAGTCCAGAACCTTTGTATCTTGTTTGACCCTCAGCTAACATCCGTACCATGTCCTTCTCTGCCTTCCCCCACCTCCGCAATATCGCCCAGCTCTGCAACTGTCTCACATGGCAGGCTACCAAGACCCTCATTCATAACATCCAGCCTCGACTTCGCAAACTTCCTGCTCTGGCCTGCTTCACCCCCCACCTCCCGCCTATCCCACCATTAGCACGCGGGCATTCTGCCACTCTGCCCCCACCCTCTGGAACTCCATCCCGCAATCCCTCCACCTTGCCCCCTACCTTGCTTCCTTCAAGACCTAACTCAATATCCTCCTCTTTGAACGTGCCTTTGGTCACCCTCCTTCCCCCCCCTGCTCTCCACCCTCCACGATCCCGCTCCCCAGCTCAGGTTCGAAACACCTTGGGGCGTCCTCCCAACATGAAAGGCGCTATACGAATGTAATTTTGTTGTGATTGTTGCTGTTGTTGAGTGAAAAGATTAAGCAATATGAAGAGAAAGATGGAAATGGGATTTTTTTTCTCATAAAAAAGAAGCTCTTTGAAAAATAGACAGGATGGATCCAACGGCCCCATTTGTGCAGAAAATGTCTGTTTTTCTAAGGTGGGCAAATATTCCGTGTCCAGACGTCTGCCCTTCTAGGGCCATCTGTTGAGGGAAGATGGCAAATGGGGGCGAGGAATTTCTTCTGATTGAGAATGGGAAAGAATAAGAGTTGGTACACATTTGAGTGAGTGAAGGCATGACATGGGGGGGTGGGAAATGGGGAAGAACGAAAAGGTTCATTAAATGTTCCTCTCAGTTCTCTCCATCCTCTTAGGAAGTGCCATAAATTTGTGTAACTTGGGTGATGCAAGTACAGAACTTCCCAGAAATTGCGATGCATAGTTGCTCAGATAACTTTGAAAAGCATTGTAAAGAACTGCTACTGAACGCAAATTTCAGTGGGCAAACCTGCTCAAACGTCACAGGTAATTTTGAATTGTGATGGCCCTTTTCTGAATGGGTGGGTGGTGGGTGGTGGAGGTGAAGAAAGAGAAGGAATTTACTAACAAATATAATAAAATGTTTGCAAACTTGCACTTGAAGCAGACATCTGTGGCACTCATCTGAATTCATTTAGATGGCGGTTTATTGTCATTGTTGGTTTCGCAGATGGTTTATGAAACTTACGTGAATTGCCATCTGTCGGGCGTGTGCCCAGTGTAAGCTTGTCATCCTTCTACATGAGGGGAGATGCGTCTCTCTTTTCAGCTTCTTTGAATGTTTCCAGCTCAACAATTGGTTGGATACGAGTCAGTCTTTCTCAAGAGTGACCCACACATTCCAGGGCTCCAACCTGACTACAATAGGCACGCGCAAAAAGATCAGCCCAAGGCCTGGCCTTCCCTGCTGTTGCGTATAGGAAAGGGTATTAGAAATGGTTCTTTGTTCTCTGTCTGGATTTTGCTCCAGCCCAGACACAAAGCAGAATTACAGTTTAACAAAGCGATTCTCCAAGTTTGTTTTGATGAAATATCTGCGCTTCCATTACACATAGTTCATTGGCATGTAGGTTTCTTAACTTTTAATGGTCAGTCCCAATAAATGCTTGCACCGTTTCTCTCCATTCTGATTGGGCTTTGATCACGTCTGCTAAATCTCGTCAGTTCCTTGTTACTACGATTAAAGTATGACCCAGATTAGTCAGCAGTAGGATTGGCTAATTTAATTCTACTGATGCTGACGATTCTTGAAAATGGCCGTTATAATTTTGTGCATTTGTGTGGGTCCATGAAGGGGGAGGGTATTTTCTCTTTTGTTGCTCATTTCAAAAAAAGAAATGAAATAAAATAAATAAGTGGAGGAAAAAAAGTAAAATGGTAAAACAAATGGCAATCCTCTTTCTCCTTTTTCCAGAGTTCCAGACGTCAGAATGTGTTAGGAGCGAGAGGAGCTATCAAATTGCAAACCGGTTAAAAATGTATTGATTTGGGTCTGAGTGATGGACTACGAAAACAGGAATTTTTTTAACCAAAATGAGCAAGACTTGATGGGTCTGTCTTTGCTGCCTGTGTTCGGTGTCCCACTGTGAATCCTAACCCGATTCAGCAGTGATGTATTTGCACGTTCCTGCCTCATTCCTTCCCATCCGCAGCCGAGCAGCCTGATCCCATTTCCATGACAACCAGTAATTAGTGTCAAGTCTGATAGGCTAACTGTGGTACTTAACACTGTAAATGACCTCCATCTGACCCAAACTCATAGGCACGGGCCAGATTTGAGGGTCCATCAGCCTAACGATGCTCTGATATTAATTTGTCAAGGTTACCCTCTTGTTGAAATGATAGTGATTTACTGAAATGTGCAGTGCAGACATTGCTCTGTTTTATATTGCACAGGACTGGATTGTTGGAGATTTCTCCTGTCTATACTAATTGACTGCAAGACTGTTAATGATTTCAGCTCAGTCATTCAGCTTTGTGGATCAGTGAGATGTACTTTTTCTAACGGTCAACAAAGATGAAGTGGGAGAGGGATGGGCGAAGCCATCAGCTGAAATTCCAGGCTTAAAAAGCAACACTATGTGAGAAACAAATTAACAATGGAAATGAGCCAATGACAACAATTTGGACTTTTATAGCATTCGTTTCATTAGGATGAATGCCTGAACAACAAACAGGGAAGACAGGAGGGGCCGTTTGAGCGTGTTGACCAAAGGCATGAACAGTATAGGTTTATAAGAAGGTTTTGAAGGCAGGGAAAGGAGACAGGATTTTAGGAAAGAATGAAACTCATAAACTTCAATGGTGTCGCCCCTCTCAGTGGGAGTTTTCCAGTTCTCTGAGTAAATTACATATTGCAAGCGCTTGACAACCCAGCATAGCTGGCTTCAGTTCCAATGGCAGCTTTTGCTGGTTGAAGCTCTATTTGTCTACATTACTGTATTCAGGCTATTCTATTTTATCAGAGGCTTTCATTGTCTGGCATTAGATTTTTGTAGAAATGGTTCTATTGTAAAAATATAAACAATTGTCGACATAATACAGTTTATGTTAAAGTACAAAATTTGTTACAGTAAATTCTGTGAAGTACCTTGAGACATTCGCCTGATATGAATGGTGCTATCAAATGCAAGGATTATTATTATGATATGAACAAGATATCAGGAATATAGTGAAAATTCTGTCTTGTGGGGTAATTGCCTACATTCACAGAACATGAAAATGTGTATATAAAACGGTAATTTAAGGGAACGATTGGTGCTTAAAACCCCAAAAAAAGAACTGGTCTATATCATCATACAGACTGGAAGATGGTGGAGCAAAATGTCATAGTAAAGCGTATCATTCTATCAGAGCAAAATGGATGGAATAGTGTAACAACAAGTAGATTAATATGAAGGATAGAGCACATCCAAAAAGCCTTCTGGTAAGAGTGTTGAAGGGGCTGGAGTCCAGACATCTTTCTACTGCAACTTTTGCTATGAGCAAAATGGCAAATGTAGTTTGATCAAATTGCTCCTGAAATTGAATGTCTGCCTTCTCCCAACTGTGGTGCTGTTACAGAGTTCAATCCCATCATTGACTGCATACTTGCAGAATGGTGTTTGTATCGCCATGATTATACCCCAGCACTAAATTCATTTTCCTTTTGACTTCTCATTATATAATCCAAACCATATTCATTGTGTTTTTTTTTCTCCAAGGTACAACCCGTCTGCCCCGGGAAGGAGAGGTTCCTGGTGTTGACTACAATTTCCTCACAGTAAAGGAGTTTTTTGACCTTGAGAAGAGTGGCACTCTACTAGAAGTGGGAACATATGAAGGTAGATCTTTTACATCAAAATAACGCTCTTCCATGCACCAGAACTGACTGGAACCGCATGTAAAATGTGCTTCAGTTTCATGAAGACCATCTCTCAGGAAGCCATTTGTCTCTTCCATTTCTGACTGAAGACTCATTGTTCACCTTATTTCTCACAGCTGACTCAGCATCTTTCCAGTTGCATGGGTATCGTGTTTGGTTTCAACTATCTATTTTCCTCCCCTCTTCTGCTTCTCAAAAAGCTGACTCCAGTAACAGTACAGTTCGACAGTCACTTTACCTTGCCCAAGTGGCCAGCCTTCTCACATGGCCTTGAATAGCGAATGTCTGCATCCTATTCGACTATGGGGTGGGGAGGACACCATTGTTAAGCTTGATTCTATCCTTGCCCATTATCTACACAAATCACTTTGAAACAGGATTTTGGATAGCAATTGTGAGCAAGACCACTTATTGAATAGTTTCCATCTCCGTAGCCCCAACCGTTCCTTCTGCTTGAGATCAGCTAACAAACCACAGACCTGTAATTTAAACTTGTGACTGCCTTGGTCCTTCCTTTAGTACCTCTTTGGCCAGTAGCTTTACCACTAAGCCAGCAGGGAAGCCTGTGCTGCCGATTATTTTGGGATACTTTGAGGAAACAATTCTTGTGCATGACACATATTTAGCAGAATGCAGAACAGTGAACAATTCTGCATAAGGACATGTGCAAAAGATTAATTTCCATTTCAATGGTTCAGATAATTAAAGAAATTATTAATTTCTATGCGCACAGTGAAGCCATGATTTTAATACTATCCTGTGCACTTGCGGTGTATAAAACGTAATGATTCTGGTTCTGTGCTAAAAACAGTAAATAAAAGGTAGCAGGGCTTTACAAATTGGGAACTTATTTCATCTAGAAAATATCCATGCACTAGATCATTCAACCCTCCCAGCATATCGCAGGGATCCAGTTCAGTCTGCTCCTAGTATCATCTTTTACAAGTGTCTTTCAGGTTTGAAAGAGCAACAACAACTTGCACTTATGTATAACCCTCCATGCAGGGTAGCATCTCAGAGGCGGAGCCTGACTCCGAACCAGGGGGGAGGGGGCTGGGGTGCGAGGTGACCGTAAGCACAGGGGAAAAGGAAAGTTTTCAGACTTGAAAAAGAGGAGAGAGGGGCAAGAAGGCCTTACTTGACTGGCCAGTTTTCCATCTGCCCGCCAACCCACTCCTCCATTCTATCCAAGCTGACAAAGATATATAGATCTTAACTGAAAGCTCAACACAAATAGTTATCAAGTCTTAGATTTCAACTTTGGAGTTGCAGTTGAGAATCGAACTTTCTACTGCCTTAAAACCAGAGTCTCATTTTTGAATGTGGACTTTTCACCAGAATGGGACTTCTGTTGATCATACCAAATATAACCCCAGTAATAATAATACTTGCATTCCGTACAGCGCTTTTCACATTGGGAAGAAGTTACAAAGCGCTTCACAGAATTTACTGTAATGTGTAGTGATGGTGTTATTTTCTAGGTGAATGCCTTGAAGTTGAAATATTCCAATGCTCTCAAGTATTGATTGGCATGGTGTATGCATTGACTTATTTGGGTTTTAGTCTAGAGAGAGGAGCATAAATCAGATTCTGCAGAGACCATGACTCCTGACAAGATCTTCCTTTCTAAATCCAGCCATTCTGTCTCGTCTTCAGGGAATAGATCCCTTCCGCTAGACTGCGTGATTTGAAAACCCAGTCATACAACTTAGGATCCAGCAATCAAAGACCTCCCTTGCACTAGCCCTCTACAATTAAGTCAGACTAATCCCCAGACATTCTCTTATCTACAAAATTTGCGGAAAATGTTTTTTTAATCTTCTGAAACTGGTAGGCTGGCTCCAAGCATTAGTAAAATCAAGGAAAAAATATATCGTTAACTTGGGCATCACATTTATTTTAACTGTGCTTGTGAGTATTTTTCTTGATTCCTCCAAATGTTACATTCAGTATTGTACATTGATCAATATTTACTAATTGGGAAATGTTGTTGATTACTAACGGATTTGAGTGTTTTACTTCTCTTGGTGACTGGAGACCAATATGTTTTGCCCCTCACTGTCTTGCTGATAGCAGCTCGGGACAAATTCATAAGTGACCACCTCATAGCTGTTTGTGGGACATTCCCCTGCAAAAATACAATCACACTTCACTACACTTGACAGTATACCCTGTGAAGGGCTTTGGGCAGTCCTCCTGACAATTATTGTTATGTTATATTGTCTCCTTCCTAATCATGTGTGCCACATGATGCAGCTCCTGAGATCCCTGATTGTGAATCGTAATTGTGGTGGTTTAATAGACAAACATGGTTTACTGTTGCTGTCTCCATTTTGAACTCCCTCAATGGGTGAATTTAATGGAGATGACAGTGCAGCTCTTTGAATGCTGCCAAATTCCATGATGCGTATCACCCTCTTCCACGGAACCTGTGCCAGTTCTGATGTCCTCTGTTCTTGAGGTCCTGGCTGCACCATCTATGAGCGTGGCCACCAACCTCCTCAAAGTCACCTTCTCGCTTTCCACAGTGCCTCCGGGCAGCTGTCAGCATCCATGAAAATCCCACCTGCCTCTCCCAAGGACACCCACCAACATCTGCAAGGACAGCTCCCAAGTTCTACAGACCTGCCAACAGCCTCCAGAGACTGACATAATGATCCCCGGGGATGTTGTCGGTCACTGTGAGGCTGCCACCATTGTTCAAGTTACTGTCAGTCTTTCAGGATGCTGTCATTGCCTTTAATTGACACCATCCTGTGCTGTTGCCTTCTGTGTATTTTCTGCCTATTGTACTAGATTAGTGCAGTATTTGCTGCCCTCCCTGAAGATACTGCTTTTGGGCACATGTTGTTGTCTGTCCTGCTCTTCCCCCCCCCTCCCCCCGCCCCACGCAAAAAAGGTATTACTCATGGTTTTCGGTACAGACAGACCAGTTAATCTCTGTGTCTCTGTACAGTTAAGTCAGGGGGGATATACTAGTGTGTCTCAGAAACCTAGGCGTGTTTTACTCTGCTTTTATCTCTTGAGTTTCATTGAGCCTTATTTAGTGGGTATGAGGCATAGAAAAAAAATCTACCCCCCCCCCACCCCAAGAATTGGGAATCTTATCCCAATCCATTCACCAGTCACTGCTTTCTCTGCTCTTTTTCTATATATAAACCGTTAAGGACAGAGTTCCAAGACCTGAGTTCCCTCGGATTCTTTCCTTCCCTTTGGAAGTTGTTAGAGACAAACTACTTGATATTTAAACCAGCATTTATTAACATCTCTCACCATTGAGAGCCCAATTATGTAGCCAGTTTGAGATCTATAATAATTCTTACATTTGATACTGCACCTTATCAGGTTCAGAACATCACAAAGCTCTTCAGAAATTTTCTGCAAAGTGTCGTGACTGTGCCTTTCTAGGCAAATCCCGTATCAATTTCCACTCTGATTACATGTGAATAGTTTTCTGGTGTGAAAATATTGAAACAAACCTGAATCTATCTTGCTAAACATTATGTTTTGATTTATATTCGCATTGCATGCCTATATTTGGTTTAAGGAGACACCCATCCTGAATAAAATGGTGCACAAATTTGACCAGAAAAGTTTTAGTCACGTTTCAGAATAGATGAATTTCATAAATGTTGTCAACTGATATCATCTGCTCCATTCTTTATGTCCAGAACATCTTGGATCAGAGTTGCACTTACCTGCAACCAAACTCTCCCTAGATTATTTAATGTCCCATCTTTAAACTAGGTTGGCTCCACTACTCTTTATCTTGTTGACAAAAAGCTCCTGTCAGCATCTGATGTTATCAACAAACAAAGGTGCTAAATCGCACAAGGTAAGGAAGTAAATGCACTGACAGAAAGCCTACATTATGAGATAGCCAAAGAGCTCTAAGTCATTGAGATTAAAATTCCTTGCACACACACACACCATATTTGCCTGGGATCTAGGTATTCTGTGCCCTTAACAGTGAGTTTTGATATTGACAGTTGCATGCAGAAGGACTGTGCAGATGAAAAATGTAGTAAATTGTTATTTTGTGTGTTCAAAAAAAGGAATGATAAGCAATGTTTCAGAATGAAATACCATTGTATTGTCTGAAAAGAAATAAACTCCACGATTTATATGAAAGCAGGAGAAAATCTGGGCTGATATAAACGAGCAAGCTGCAGATGTTGGGAAGAAAATTAAAGTGTGTTTTGTTTTCCTCCAATAAACTTGGATACTGAGGGCAATGCAAAGATTTTATCCCTTTGGTTAAAGAATGCAACTTTCAAAGCTATTGGGGGGGGGATTAATGAAAATGCAGCTTTTAATAAATTGTCTCTACTTCTGAACTAACAAGTAAATTTGCTCCTGTTGCCTAGGTAACTATTATGGAACACCCAAACCTCCAAGCCAGCCACTCAGTGGGGATGTAATTACCAGAGATGCTTTGCGAGACCTTGCGACTGGCTCAAAGCCCACTCCAAAACGAAGCAAGTCGTACAATGATATGCAAAATGCTGGAGTAGAGCATGCTGAGAATGAAGATGATGAAGAAAACCCTGAAATGAACAGCAGTTTTACAGGTAAAAGTCATGTAGGCTGACCTCTTCCAGTCTGGGAAATATCCAGAGCAAAATTTATACGACTGTCTGTCTTAACATGCAATAAACAATGTCGGGACAGGGAGCTGAGGGGATCTGGTAGGTTTTGAAATTTAAAACTTTTTGCAGGAAAATCGGCGTAGGGTAACATTTGAGTGTAATGAACGTTCGGATTGAACAGACGCAGCCTTCCTGACCGCTCACCAATTCATCACAAGTACCTTTGTGTCTTTAATTGTTCTGCTTGCCAGTTCTGGGAGTTTTGCATAATCCTCTCACAGTATAACTGCATCGCTGCCCTTCATGTGCTGCTAAATGAAGTGATGAATTGCACATTTGCAATTCAGGTGAATGTTTAGTCTAGCAGGAGGGTGCAGAGGCGTCTAAACTGATCTCTGAAATATGCATTCAAATGAATATCCTTTTATTATGGCCAGTTTCTCCTCTAATATCATTGCATTACAGTGGGATAATCATTTGAATCCTATTGAAATAAAGGGAAAAGTCACAACGGGTGTCGACTCTTTTGTGAATTTATTTTTGTTGAAATGATCTAATGTCTAGTAGAATGCTTAAGATATATGATAACTCAATGAGGTGTTTCTCCATAGGAATGTAAACAATGTTGATGTGTTTTCTCTGCTGCCTGTTTAAGCATCAGAATCATTTAGGTAATACTAAATCATAGCCACAGATGAATAAAGAAATAATTTAGTGACAAATATTTCTTCCCGTTGGAAATAATCCACTGGATAAAATGGCTGTCTCTAGTGAATAAAGTAATGCCAAATCACTTTCTCTGTCTCTCTCTCTCTCTCTTTCTCTTGTTTTGCTATTGTGTTTAGAGAATCCTTTACTTCTGATAATGTAATGGTTATCTGCAAAACCATTGATTCCCTTTAGTCATGATTTACTGCACAAGATCTTTTCCAAATTAAATATTTAGGCTATTAATTTGTTTAACGTGTTTTTTAAACTTGGACATGATCATTCTGCTTTTGGATTTAAATCAAAAGGATAGGGTATTAACTGACGTGCTTAATAAAATGGAACTTTATTTCAGATATTTTGGATAAATAGTCTACTCAGATTTGTTTTCATTTATTTTTCGGATTTAAATCAAAAGGATAGGGTATTAACTGACGAACTTAATAAAATGGAACTTTATTTCTGACATTTTGGATAAATAGTCTACTCAGATTTGTTTTCATTTATTTTTCGGTGTTAAAGATTTTGCTGGTTATTTGCAGATTCTAGTGAACACGACGAACAGAACACGCGCACTTCCAAAGAAGAGGTGCCTCAATATAATAACCTCAACAACTCCAGTGCACCTCAGCAACCAACCCACAATTCCGATCCTGCAATAGAAAGCTTGGATCCACTGCCTGAGAACTGGGAGATGGCATTCACTGAAAATGGAGAAGTCTACTTTATTGAGTGAGTAATGTCCCCAATCTATAATGGCAGTGTCATGGCAGACCAGGAAAGTGAGGTTGCAAAGTGGGAGGACACTGTCTTGTGCCCCCAAAGAGTCCATGAAGTGAGCTACATATCTTGAGCTGTTCCATACGTACTGAGTGCAGGCCAGGTGCTTGTCAATAGGAAACTGACCTCGAAATAGCAGCATCGATGAAGGAGAGGTCTTGGAAGAAGGAGGTGGCCATGATTTGGGAAGACTAAATGAGAGGGAGAAAAATAATGGTTTTGCAAAAAAGGATAGGATTCTGCAGTTTACAATTTATTTTTCATCAATGCTTTCACTATTGGTTTAACCTGCACAGATTCCTAATTCTCCTAGGGTTTCCAGGACATTAATGCAACTATTGCTTCGCACCTTCTGTTCAATTCACAGAAGACTGAAACTAAAATTAGCACTGAGGCGTTCTGAGAATCTGTCTGTATTCCTAAATTTCCTCTGAACTTCTGCGTTGCACATTCTTGTATCATAATGATAACTCTTTGGTGTGTGTGTGTACATATATATATATATATATAATAATTTTTGAATATTTAAATTTAAAGCTGCAGTGACACACACAGAAACGTACAAAGTGTTATATTTTTAAAACATTTTAACCATTATAGCATATAAAGGACTTGGCAGCGCAGTCAATTACAGCACTGTCCTTTCAAATCCTCCCCATGAAAGTCTTTTCTCTTTGGATAGAAGTGCCTTAAATGAAATGAGTATAATGGGAGACTTTACATCACGGAACAGGAAACTGATATCTCAGGCATGGCGGCAGTAACACCCAACACTGAATTCAGAATGAACGGACCTCAGCAGTGATGCCAGTGTGGTTCCCGTTTACTGCAGGGCTCCAGCATAAATTACACTTTCTGCACTTTGGCAGCAAATTGCTAACAGAAACATGACAATTCAATCAAGCCTGCTCTGCAAATACAACATAAGATTTGCAAAGCACGCTTTCCCATACATTTGAAAATCTCCTTTCTTAGGTGCCTGGGACTGGGTTAGTGGGCTTCAGCAACCTCACATTCTGGCTGGGGGAGGGAAACAATAAGCAACAACAAATTGCTTTCATATAGCGCCTTTCATGTCGGGAGGTAAAATTTAATCACAGTCTCGATCGAAGGGCCAGTGATCTGTTAGAAAGTGTGGATGTCTGAGCTTTGGATGAGGATAGGATTGGGCTCAAGTGTTGCGTCCTTCCTTCAACCTTTAAGAATAGCCATTTCGATTGAGATGTTGGAGGGCAGCCAGCCCTGGAATTCTGCCCCAGGATCAATCAGCGGCTTCAGGAGAGAAGAGGGGAACAAACTGGTTCTTTACTTTTCTAGCCATTTCCCAGCTGTACCTCTGACCTTGCAGAACAGCTACACATTTACTGTTAGAACCTCACTCTTGAGAGCCATCAATGGACATCTATTTTGCTCGGGTTAAGGAGAAGTTAAATAGGTATTTNAAAAGGAAAAAATTGCAGGGCTATGGAGTACGAGTAGGGGAGTGGGACTAGTTGGTAGCTCTTTCAAAGAGCCGGCACGATGGGCCGAATGGCCTCCTGTGCTGTAAAATTCTATGAAGTCTTTGTAAATGAGGTTGAGAGTTTTTCACCATCAGTTTTGAATGGAAGAAAAAGACCAGACTATGGGCGATTGACCTCTATAGTGAGTTGGTCTCGTTACTGAGGTGTCTGCAGAGTGAGGAGTTCTGGTACCAATCTCTTGGTCCAATCATGTTCAACCATTCAGTCTTCATCTCTTCCCTAAATGTTTTGCCATTCATGAAATTTGTTGTTTCAAAGCCTTCCCTCCAGATTGATCTCGGTCTATCTTTGTTAAAACAATACGACTTTTGCCACATTTCATTTATTTATTTCTGGTCTGAAGCTCTTCCACTCTTTCTATCATCTTATTCTGCTTTCAGAGTTCTACCATCTGGCAATGTAGCATGCTTTCGCTGTGTTTTCTGGTTGTGAGTTTTGTAAATTTCCACTGTTTTAAATGAAGCTCAGCTCATTGTTCAGTATTGTTGTACGGGTCATTCCTGTTTGAGTGATCTGCTGCCTTTAATCTTGCAATGATGGATTTCTGTTTCCCCTCCTGTAACCCTGTTAGCTTTCTTCAAACTTGTTTCTCCTTGAACTTGCTTTGTGCTTCTCAGAAATTCCTTCATCTTGTATTATGTCATTGTTTCAGTCCAATCTTCTCTTCCCAGTCTGTTCACTGCCTTTGTGATTTTCTTTGCATTATGCTATAATTCTTTTGGGAAGACTTCTTAAACCATCTGCAGAAATGATTCAAAGTGGAGTGTTTTTACCCTCAGCATTACTGTCTGGTGACTTTAGTGCTTTGAAAATTATCTAATACTTATTTGCTTCTGTAGCTTGATGGTACTGTGTGATCATTGCTATTTCAGTTGACTAGCCTGAGAATAGGCTTTTTTTTTGATCACTTTTCTGTTTAAGAGCAGCTTCCTCACAGAAACATGGTTTAGGGGTTGGTGTTGAAATGATTTTGCATCCGGCTTCCTTAATGCTCCAACGGGGGCAAAGGCTCAACCCAAAGGCAAAGGCTCAGCGAAGCCCTGGACCAAACAGACCAGAAGGTGCAGCTTCAAATTTGGATCTGTGGCAGCTTGGCTACCGAACTCAACCAGGACAGAAGTTGGGGAGCCTCCAATTGGCCTAACGGTGCCAGAGCCACAGAATTCTGACCTAGCTGAGGTAGCCAAGAAACTCGGCTGTGGGTCATGCCCTTGATCGTTATCCATAGATACTTCCTACTGGATGCATGTGTGTGGACACTGGGTCAGGTCAGGATTAAGCTCGGCTGCTGTACTCCTTGCAAGCGTAATACCTAGAAACACTTGTTGTCAAGGCTAATGCATCAAAACCCGAGTTCAATTCCAGGCAGGGCGAAACCTTGGGCAAGTTTCCTTACTCCACACGCCTAATAATAATCCCTCCAAAACCAAAAACAATAATAAATTGGTCATTTTTAATCTACGACTGTTTGTGGGACATTGCTGTGCGCAATTGGCTGCCGCGTTCGCCCACAAATATACAGTCAATTCACTTTACAGTGTGTTCTGTGAAGCGCTTTGGAACGTCCTTCCGACGTGAAAAGTGCTATATCAAATGCAAGGATTATTATTATGAATTACATTACATTAATGTGCCCGTTGTAAATATGTTAAGCTTGTTCTTAGCTCATCTAGTTTAATAGAATGGAGTAATAATAATAATAATCCTTACATTTGATATTGAGCCTGCTGTGTCAGGAGGACGTCTCAAAGCACTTCAAACTAAAGTGCCGTGACTGTTTTTTGGGCGAAGTGCTACTTTTGAAAAAAAAATGTTGACACTAGGGTTAGTATTATAATAAGCAAAGGTCTTTGGAGAGATCATAGTTAATTGCTGCAAATGTTTATCTACTTTGTGTAACTTCACAGCCATAATACTAAAACCACGTCCTGGATAGATCCAAGGTGCCTGAGCAAGCAGCCAAAACCACTGGAAGAATGTGAAGACGATGGTAAGTATAAAGTAGGAACATTTTAACAAATTATGTTCTTCACACATGCTGAAATTGCACAAAAAAAGCTAGAGTTGAAATGCTAATGGTAACATGGTTTTCAACAACTCTTACTTTTGAGAGCAATCCACTTTTAATTAGCTGCTCTAACATATCAATGACTTTGCTCTAAATACTTGACGCAATGTGACTCCAGGTTATAGATATCGGTGACTGAGCTTGTTGTCCACATTGAATTTTAATGATTGCCTCGCAGTCTATGAGCTTAATTGCAAAATGTATTGAATTGTAACTGTGCTCTCTGTTGCGAGAGATATTTGGTTAAGTCAAAATCCATTAAAAATGTGCAAAAGCAGACGGTTTGATTTCAATGGGAAAATTGTAGAAATGTTCATTTAGAAGTTAATGATTTTAAGGTTCCCTGTGCCTCCTAGTATTTGATTAACCCGTATAACTTGCCTTGATATCTTTTTTAGTTGATTATTTCCTGGTCAAAAAATCCAAATTTATTGAATATTTAAAAATTGCATTGATTTGAACTTCAAATAAGTTTCTGCCTATTGGCTGACACAAAATAATGACTTTGTTCAAGCATGAAACCTGCAGGATTTTGTTTGGGTTTTCAATTAGATCTTTCCTGTCAAAATCTATTCTTGAATCATCTCTGCATTTTTCATCTGTTTTAAAGTTACAGTATCCTTGCTACAACTGTCTGGTAACCCGTCTCCATTTACGTGCATCAACTTTGCCACTGAGCCATTCATGTTATAGAATCATAGAATCTTACAGCATAGAAGGAGGTAATTTGGCCTCTAGTGCCTGTGCTGGCTCTTTGACAGAGCTATGCAAGTTGTCCTGCTATCCCGCTCTTTCTCCATAGCCTTGCAAATTAGGTGTATTCATGTGTTCATGAAAATAATGGCTTAATCTTTATATTAGTGGATGCCATCCATGGATTTTAGAGGCATTGCAAAACTACTTTGAACATTAATAATATAATAATAATAATCCTTGCATTTGATATAGCGCTTTGCACATCTTCTAGAAGTCTCAAAGCGCTTCACAGAATATACTGTAAGGTGAATTGACTGCATATTTGTGGGCGAACCCGGCAACCAATTGCGCACAGCAGCCTCCCACAAACAGTCGTAGATTGAAAATGACCAACTTATTATTGTTTTTGGTTTTGGAGGGATTATTATTAGGCGTGTGGAGTAAGGAAATTTGCCCAAGGTTTCGCCCTGCCTGGAATTGAACTCGGGTCTCTCGCTTGCAAAGCGAGTGCTCTAACCACTGAGCTACAGGACATTAATTGAACAATGATCTGGATTTGGCTTTTTTCTCCCCCTTTTACACCTATTCCTTTAAATCATTTGCAAAGGACAGTCTTAGTTGGATACAATGGCTTAGACGATGTGCACCATTCATCTGCTTGGTTTCAATGGGTTGCATTTGTATTTCTGTGTGCTTTTTTAAAACGCTGTATGAATGAAGCCATGACTATTGGAAATGGGAGTCTCTGGTTGTTTGTACATGTTTGATATTAGCTAAAATCTTTTCTGTTGCTTTCTTCTGTCCTTGCTTGGTGCACTTGCCCTGGAGAAGAAGGGGTACACACAGAGGAACTGGACAGTGAAATAGGTAACTCGTTGCATGAAGTGCAGTAACTCATGTTTTCAACATATTTTCTGAAATTAACTGTTGTATTCCTTCTCAAAACACCTTTACCTTATGCTGGCATTTAACTGGACCCGTCGTCCTCCGACCTAAGGAATCTCCATACCTAATTCCAGACCAATCTGATCTTCTCAATCGATATTCATTGATCGAGAGAGAAGATGTAAATCATGCGGTTATTGTGGTCAATGATATGAGGCCAAAGGTACAACACAACATAAATATCTCAGCTAAATGCCAGCAAAACCGTAAAATGATCTGTGGTCACATTTTTTTGTAAAAAAAATTAGTAGCTACAGTTTCCTTATGTTGGAGAACACATTATTTGCAATTGTTTGCCCCTATTATGTGTGTGTTTAGCACCAATGAGAGAAAATTGGGACTGCCCTGATGCTGGGAAATTCTTCTGTGGCTTAAATCTGTGGTGTGCTTTACTGTTTCCTTGATATATTATGAAAATATGTTTGACATGTAAATCTTTAAAATAGGTACCAGCAAAAACATTATTGGCCCCAACATTGAAAGAAATGAATTGTAATAGCTAACTATGTTTAGTAAGGTGCCAGGTATGATGTATTCACCCAGGAGTAATTAAGCATCAATTTGAGTGATTTCTTCCTACAGTGAATAAGGCAAATGGAGATATTTCCATTGCGAGTTTACTATAACTATTGTTTCTGATAGCTTTTGGCTGTACATGTATCAGTAAGACAGTGGTGCCCCATACATATTTATTTTTGCTTTTCTAACTCAACATTTGAAGCAAATGCACTCCTCTGAAGGTAATCTGAATAAATTGTGAGTTTGGTGCGTAACAGCCTTTCATACGAGGCAAAGGTTTCTGCTGCTTCAGTTTGTTTCAAGCAATTGTCAATCATTTGGATCATGTCTAGTGTAGGTGCAAACATGAAGCAACACAAGAAAAACTGTCTATCTGCAGGGATTTGAGAGAATGAGAAACTTAATTACTAGGCAATTTGGAAGCCATGGTGACTTTAATAATGGCATCATTAAAAGGATTGTGGGGCAGGCAGCAGTGTGGGAGCTTGCCTTAGATGGTCGGCAGATATCTCCAAACTCTAGTTATCAGAATGGTAAATAATGGGGAAAGCAAAAACATCTAATAATGATCTGGGACAAAATGCTTCAAATAAATTTCACCCATTATCAGAAATAACATAGCAGGGGTAAAAAAAAAATCCCCTCTGGGTCTAAATTTACTCCATATTAATATAACATTTCAGAGCATTCAGAATTTAACGATTTCTTAATGCCAGCCTTAATTTTAAAGCTGTTTTCTGTAAGTTCTTTCAAGAGCTACAGAAAAACAACTTCAAAGTTAAAACTGATATTGCCTGCAGTCACTGCACTTTACAGTAAGTCCTGTGAAATGCTTTGAAACGCAAGGATTATTATTATTTTATTTTAACTATTTGCCAAATTTTGTAATTCTCTGAATTGCTTCTTACAGTAAACCTAGACCCGGGTAGAATTTTACCTCTATAATGTGCTAAAAATGCATTATAGTATTGAATTTCGGTATTTCAAACTTTTCTCTCTCCCTTCACTCTCTTCACTTCACTTGGCAACTTAATTGGCAAAAGGAACAGTTTGTTCAGGGCAGGATTTTTCAACCTCTGGCATACATGTAAAAGGAAAAGCGAACACCTTATGGAAAGCTTAAAAAAATTCAGTGAAAAATCATACTTTGGGTTGAGGATCCAGCCTGTTTAATGCACTGCAGGAGTACAATTTAATACACCACAGAGCAAGAGAATTTCAGAGCTCTTTGTCCAGTGTCGTAAAAATAGAAAAATGCTGATCAAGTCAAGGACCTTTGACATAATTTTAATGCTTGACCTGTTTTTTTATATGGGCCATTGCAGCTTTAATGGAAAGAAACTTAGGATTTTTTTAAAAAAAGAATACTCTATCTAAGAGACAGGTCGGCTGAGCCTGTAGGTACTTTGGAGCAGGAAATATAACATGTTTTTATTGAATGCATCAAAAACGATTTTGGGGAGGAAAAAAACATGTGCACACATACTCACTTACTATATGAGGCAATTGAGAGTATTTCAACATTTATGGATGAGAGTTCACAGTAATCATTATTTATTCATTCAGCTCCTTTCCACTGATTGGTGCACAGGTCCCAGGCTTGCTATGTGGTGGTGTACTTTATTCTAAACCCAGTGAAAGGACAGGCCAGTGTACTTGTTACAGTCTGCATTTTTAAATTGAATTCAATAATCATAAATAAATGTAGACACAGACGATTTTATTGTGTGTCAGTCATGTTGGGTTCAAATCTTGCAAGTATGTATGTAGTGTGCAGTGTGTGTGTTTATGGCTAAACATTGCTATGTGCTGTTGAAATGAATTCATTTTTGAAATGTGCTTTTGTAGGTTTAGATACAAATATGCACCTAGGCAATTCAGAATTTTTAGCAGTATGATCCCTTCACTTGACTGCCTATGTTGTCTCCTTTCTTGGAATCACTCTATTCTGGATAAGAAATTACAAATTCCTTTACAAAAGTATCTCTCTCTGTGCTTTCAGAACTGCCTTCTGGGTGGGAGAAGATAGATGATCCTGTGTATGGCATCTACTATGTTGAGTAAGTTTATGATCTCACTCCACATCTGGGAAAAAGAAGAGCAATGACCCTATCGAGTTTCGGGGGGAGGAGGTCATCAGGGTAAAGGAAGGCGCCCAACCTTCATGTTTTTGAAAAGGGAGGGAGTTTCAGAGGTTAGGGGCATATTATCTGGAGGCTTGGCCACCCATGGTATGTAGAAAAGGCGGGGGATGTGTAGAAAGGATGAGTTTGTTGAGAGCGAGCAGAGGAGTGGGGTATCATCAGTCATAAAAAAAATTGTGATGTTGAAATTCATAATTGTTAGAATTTTTAATGGTGTGCGCCAATGTACAGATTCTGCATTGTCACTGAATGTACTTTCTGATCCATTATGTTTCACTGAAACTGAACTCCACTGAATATGAGGCCTACAAGGCTGGCAGTTACAACTGGAATAGATGTCTCTTGAGAAGTGCCTTTTAGTGAACCAGTACTTGTTAAAGGAGTAGATGGCTATTATCTGCCTCTGAAGGGATGCTGTTGTTAAGTTGGAGATTTCTTTCGAAAGTTTGTTTGCGTCCTGATGTAACAGCACATCTCCCCTCCTTCACTAGTCACATCAATAGGAAGACGCAGTATGAGAATCCTGTCATTGAGGCCAAACGGAAAAAACAACAACTTGAACAGCAGCAAGCAGAGGGTGAGTTGCTTATCCTGATTGATGGATGAAGTTGCAATGAGAGAATTGTGCAGTTAGAGCAATTCCATTCTATTTCCTCAATGGATAATGGCCCTGAAATATGTTCGGACAGCTGGAAGGCGCTGACGAGCTTAATTGTCAGGTGACATAATGTGGACGAACAAACAGTGCTGGCGCAGGTCAGACTAAAATTGGCCACTGAAATTAATGCTTGTAAGTACAGTGTAGGTGCCTAACCTTGTGGTGTGAACAGAGATTTGATATATAGAGCAGAAGAAAAAGATCATTATTCATTGCAAGTGTTTCAAGTTTTGCTTTCTTTAGAGAAAAAAGTTGAGTTTGTTTCACTTGTCCCGAGTTTGCACTGCTAACAGATTTGCTGATGTAGTGGTAAAATTTCCATTGAACTAAAGCGCGTTTTTATTAAAAATCCTAATTGTGACTGAAACTGCTGAAACACCTGCCATGGAGCTGCGTGGAATTTTTGCCAAGTATACTCACAAGCCCAGTGTGCTAAAATTTACGTGCAAAAGAGTTGAAATGAACTTCCTTCAGGGTGAATTTAAAACTGAAGACAGTAATGCTGAACACCGAGAATAATATGACTGGATATGAAATTGTTTGCAATATGCAATTGATTCCTTAAACAAGACACGATTGGAAACTAATCCGGATTGCTAGTATTGATGTTGGAAACAAGGTGGATAATTCTTTCAATGCTTCAACATTTCTTTCCCTCAGAATGGACAGAGCAGCAAGCATCCCCTGCCCCCAAAGCTCCAAGTTATGCACAGAGCAGCCAGGAGACATCGAGGGAAACTCCAGCACAAGGTATAATTCTGCATAAAGATATATCTTTACAATCTGGGAACGCTTATTTGTCATTCACTTTCCATTTTATTATGACATGCAAATGTTTTTCCAATCACTTTGTCTAAGGATTTCCTGGATTTTCCTTGGGTTGCAGTGAAGGCTTTGGCTTGATATTGTTCTTTCAAGAAAAAATGTCATGCTACATGCATTGGAATTTCAGGTCCACCGATATTGAATTGACAATCTTAACCGTATAACTTCTTTGTTATTAGTCAAGCCCTTCTTTACAAGAAACCCTGCAGAGCTGAAGGGTCAATTCATCAATACCAAACTGAAGAAGAGCACCCGTGGGTTTGGATTCACTGTTGTTGGTGGGGATGAACCGGACGAATTTCTGCAGATTAAAAGTTTAGTTCTTGATGGCCCAGCAGCTCTAGATGGCAAAATGGAGACAGGTACCAATCAAAATCATTGTCTTGATTTGCCATGTTATCTTCCATCAGTTGTTAGAGTGTGTACTGTAATATTCCCTGTTACTATCACTGGCCAACTGCCATTTCAGTGGGGATAAAATTCATGAATGCATCTTAGCAGTTTCGTTGCTTCTCTTGAGATAGCAACATGACCTGACAGAGAGTGTTTTAAGAAAGAATTTGATAGGATGAGTACAAAACAAAAAGGCATAAATACAAAATAGCTAGTGTCAGATCTAATTGAGAGTTTCAGAGGAACTTTTTCACACCCAGGGTGGTGAGAATATGGAGATAGCTGCTGGAAGCTATGGTTAAAACAAAAAGTACCATGTCTTTAAGAGAATTTGATGCTTACATGAGGGAAAAGGGAATAGAAGAGGGAATACAAAGTGTGTGGGCTTGTATAGAGTATAAACACCAGCACAGACAAGTTGGACTGAATGTTTCTATGCAATATCATTCTGTGCAATTCTCTGTAATCCACTGCCATTCAAGAGCTCAGAGTTGAGAGCTGTATTCCAGTTCCTAACTTTTTTCGTGAATTGAACCCAATGTCAAAAACATGATTTAGACTCGTCATTATCATCTTCATTATTTTGATTCTTTGTGTGAATTCAAACCTATCAGTTGCCTATGATCAGCAATTATTTGTTTGAGGTTCTCATCAGTATTGATTTCCTACTGTTTTAAAATAACATTATGAAAATGATTCCTTTTTTGATGTGCTCAATGTTATATGTGAATTAAGTATTGAATTATTGAACACAGTGTACATAAATTAGTTAATTGAGGTATCATCAACCTAATTCATTTTTATTAAAACCACAGTAATGTGACTAATTCCATTTTTTTTGTATCTTAGGTGATGTTATCGTCAGTGTTAACACCAGTTGTGTGCTGGGATATACTCATGCTCAAGTTGTGAAAATATTCCAATCCATTCCAATAGGTGCAACAGTGGACCTTGAACTTTGCCGGGGTTACCCTTTGCCATTTGATCCAGATGATCCAAATACTAGTTTGGTGACGTCGGTAGCTATTTCAGACAAGGACCCAATTATTGTCAATGGCCAGGAAAACTATGACTCCCTTTCGAGCCATAGTAGCCAAACAGCACCTGCAAATGTAAATGGCATTGGATTGAAAGACCAGAGACCATATAGTCCATCATCTGGTGACGTTTCATCAAATGGATCCCATGCAAGTTACCCCAATGATAGCATGTCCTTGGCTTCTTCGATAGCGACTCAGCCTGAACTTATAACTGTTCATATAGTGAAAGGCCCGATGGGTTTTGGTTTTACCATAGCAGACAGTCCTGGTGGTGGTGGCCAAAGAGTAAAACAAATTGTAGATGGTCCTCGCTGCCGTGGTCTGAAGGAAGGGGACCTCCTCTTAGAAGTTAACAAGAAGAATGTGCAGAACCTAACCCACAATCAAGTAGTCGATACACTGATAGAATGTCCCAAGGGAAGTGAAGTAACACTACTAGTCCAACGAGGAGGTAAGTGCTGAATCCAGAGTCTGCTGTTGTTAGATATGTTTAACAATGTATTTTTCTCTTACTACAGCTGTCCACAAATGCATATCTTTGAGGTCTGTCGAATCCACAGAATCCTTAATCTATTGACTTTTAGGAAGATTTCAGAAATTGGCTTTGTTTCTTTTGAATGCTGTCACATTAGTATGCCCAGCCATTCAGAATAGCCAACTGATGGTTAAATCTTTGCTTTCTGTAGATGTAATAGCCTTTGCTGCTTACTGGTCCTGGCCAGACAGCTGCTCCAGTGACTGAGCTTTCTGTGGGCCTTTAATCTTCTGATTAACTTCGGTCAAAGTGGATGAAGCCACTTTGCAATGAAGCAAAAGGATCATTTGATTTGGATAATTTATGGACGCAAATTGTTGAAGAAGAGAAGGAATAGAAACCTGTGTGCGAGTGAGATAAAAGGAATAATTAACATTTGTAGTTTCAGAATTAGATTTGTGGTTTAGCTTTAATTGGTGTGACAGTGCTAAATACTTCTAATGACCAGGAGTTCAATGAAGAAATGGATTTGATTTGTTGTAATAGCAAAAGTATTCCTTTGTGCTTGCCTTTAGAATAAATGCTATAATGCAAAGCATCATTAACGTAATTTAAAAGAAAACTGGAGAGATTAAATATGCTTCTGGGAACAACATAAACAACAACAACTTACACTTATAGAGTGCCCTTGATACAGTGTAGCGTCCCGGAGCGCTTGACAATGACAGAGTCTGACAATGAGCCGGGGGGGGAGAGAGAGGGGGGAGGTGACCATAAGCACGATCAAAAAGGAAAGTCTTTAGGTGGGATTTGAAGGTGGGGAGGGACTGAGGGAGAGAGTTCTCGAATTTTGGGGCATAGTGGCTGAAACCACAGCCACCGATGATGGAGTGGAGGGGACGAGGGACAAACAGGAGGCTGGAGCTGCAAGCGGAGACAGATGGTGGTGGAGTGAGGGGGTAAGCAGGTTGGATAGGTAGGGAGGTGCGAAGGCATGAAGGGATTTGAAAACGAGTGAGAGGATCTTGAAATCGATCCATTCTGTAATAGTGAGTCAGTGGAGCCTGGCAAGGACTGCGGTCATGGGATACTTTATCCATTGATCCTATCCTCTGGCATTGAAAGAAAGAAAAAAAGACTTCTGTAATATATTTGTATGAAAATGATCACTGCATATGGATGGTTGACTTGTGCATCATCAAGTGCAGACCAAGGATATGAATAATAATTAATGCTCAACTAATCTAGTGTTCAATGACCAAAGTATAAGTTCCTTTATGTTTGCATCTCTGGTTCTGGAATAAAACATTTAGTTTGCGAAATGGAAATAAAAAACACACTGGTGCAGTAGGGTGGTGACAACTTTTGAGATTGCAAGTGGATGGGAGGGAGAGATCCATTTATTTCTGGGGCAGATTAGAGAGAGATTAACATTACATGCTGCACCTGAGCTGGCAGTACTGGATGCTCTTAATAGAAATTATTCCACTCTTTCCCTCAATCCATCTGAACCGGCTGACAGATCTCGGGTCTTAGGTAATGAGCTCCAAATCCTGGCATTGAGGTTTGAATCCACAGCCTTCTTACTCAGAGGCAATAGTACTGCTAACTGAGCCAGGCTGACAGTATGTTTCATGTAAGACTCTTGCAGCATGCAAAAATGCACCTTTCATGCTATCAGCGTAAATTGGATTGGACCTTGTGTCCAGAAGTGAAATGTTAGTGAAATGTGTATGTTAGTGACAGTCAACACCAAAATGAGAAATGTTTGGGATTTTGACTTTTCCCTGTTCGATAATGAGCACCAAAACCAAACCCAAGATCTGTTTAGTGCAATTTTATTATTTTGCCTGTCTGTTTTGAGTCAGTGCCAACTTGTAATTATAACAAGTGAACCAGATATTTGAACCTTTTCTGTCCTTATCAAAATGTTTCTTGTGTAAAAGGGTCAACTCATTACGCATTTAAATGGTGGAAAATGACAACAGCAAGCAATGAATCTAAATATATATCCACAAGGTTTGATATTGATAGTACGTAGAATGGTGGTTAGATATTGAGAATTACCGTTGCAGTACAGTGCTGTCCATTTATATCCAACCTGTTTATATCAACATCCTTCATATGTCGACAAAAATTGAAGTCCTGGGCACTTTCCTGTATAAACACATTAAATTTACCATGTATATCAATGACCATACAAATTTCGACATGCTTATATCGACAAATGTTTCAAATACGTGTCAGCATTAAGTGCAGTGTGTTCTTACCACTTATGTCAACAAACAGGTTGTTTTAATCCTTGCCTACCTGCGCTTTGCCTGGCTCTCCGATGCACCAAAGCACTGTAATGCTCCACTTGAGTGTGCGTCGCACGTGTCGTTCCCCTGGAATCACAGAGCGCAGTGGTCAGTGTGCAGCCAGACAACAACTCCTGGCGGACACCTTGGCTGAGAGTGACTGACAGCACTTGGTTTGTTCGTTTATGTCGAAACCTGCTTATGTTGACAAAATCTGTTCGGTCCCCGCAATGTCGACATAAACTGGTAGGATTGAATTAGCATCATCAGCTATTGTGGTGTTCAGTTCCTCAATTGAGTTAACGTGATATTACAGACCCAGTTTGGCTTCTGCATAGCTGCACAAACGAGGCAAAGTATTCGGAATACAGGCACAAATCAACTCTCAGGAAACATCACTGCCTCACACAGCTGTGCTGCTGTCTGAGAAATGAATTCAGATGTCTGGAAATATTGTCTTAATGTATATTTTGACTCCACATTTATAGGCGCTTTTTTCCTTTTTTCTGTATGATTTAGATCGGGACACATATTACCTTCATAATGTAAGGATGTATTTTGAACAAAATGTCCAGAATTTTCGCATCCAGGAATCTAACAATAGGAATCACCCATCCACTGTGCAGAGGGTATTTATGTTGTTCAGTAATCCATCCCACCAATTTCTTTCACTGTTGACGTCTGTGAGACATTGTGGTGGAGTCCTGTAGTTCAGTGGTTAGAGCACTTGCCTCGCAAGCAAGAGACCTCGGTTTGATTCCCAGCAGGGCGAAACGTTGGGCAAGTCCATGACTGTCTGTGGGACAGACACTGCTGTGCGCAATTGGCTGCCATGTTTCGCCCACAAAATATATAGTCAATACACTTTACAGTATATTCTGCGAAGCGCTTTGAGACGCCTCGAAGACGTGATTCATCAAATGGTGCATTTGGTAACATTGTGTTAAGTGCCTTCATTTGCCAGCAGCAACTTTAGCCATTAGTGTTAATTATTTAGCACTATTCACTTGCACTTGAATTCACATATAGACCACTGCATGTTGTTGGCACAATGTGAAGGAGAATTGAAACAGAGTTAGCATCTTAATTTTTGTACGTTGGTACAAACATTTTACTATGTCTGGATGCAGTATAGTCAGTGAAAGTTTAGAACTGACTCATGATATTTATTCTCCTGACTAGTCCATTGTTCTTGACGGGTGCAACCTTACAATACAGAGTCATTGCACTTCACAGTAAAATCTTATGAACCGCTTTGAGGCATCTCAATGACGTGATAAGGTACAATATTAATTGTAAGTATTTACTATTGTTATTGAATTCAGTGGAGAAAAGGTACTGGGCAAGAGGATATTGTCTCTCACTGGCTTAGAGTGGGTGAGGGAGGGAGAGTTTAGCCATTTCTTCTAACCTGTGAATGCATTTTAAATGTTCTGCCTTGTTGAACTCTTTTGAAAAGTAAATCTGCTTATCTGCAATGGCATAATGTTCACTGAATTGAAAGGGAAAAGACAGCAATCTAGGTTAATGCTGTCTTGGAGGTATTTTTGTTCAAATCTAAATATTGTAAGTTCTATCATCACTGTATTTAAGCATTCTTGGTACAGAAAGTTAACCTGAATCTTCTAGTCATTAGAAGATAACAATAGATGTTCGGATAAAGAAAGTCCTTTGGCCCATTTGATTTCATCCTTCCAGAATACCAACCCTATTGTTCCCTATAAATCTCCATAAGTTCCTCTCTAAAGCCTTGTTCCTACACTCTGCATTGCTTCCCCTTGACCCCTCACTTCCACTGTTCAGTATTTTACAATTTTCTGTATTGAACTCATTTGCTTCTGATCAGTGCAGATACATACTCTGTTGAGATCTCTTTGCAAATCAAAGCTGCATCTTCTAAATCCACAATCCTCTTTGCTTCTTTCTCTTTAGCCACATCCATGTCTCACCTAAATTCCTTTGATAGTCTGTACTTTTCTGGTAATTTCAAGTCTTTTAGAAGTACAGGTAGACTACATCAGATGTCTGCCGGCTGCCAATTTTGGATGTCATCTACTCAACAATCTCTGAGTGTGGTCAGGCAATCTCTGAACCCATCCCGGCTGTCTTTTATCACTTTCATTTTTTATCCACTTACACTTCACCTTGCTTATTGATTATTGATTCTATTAGTTATCTGATAATTGAGGTCGGACGTTCAGGCCAAGCACAGAGACAGCACTCGTTAAAGTAACAAATGACGTCCTCTCTCTCTGTGACCAGGGCTCCCTCTGTCTCCTCGTCTTCCCTGACCTCTCCGTTTTCAAATCCCTTCCCTCCCTACCTATCCGACCTGATTACCCCCCCACTCCAAGACATGCTGCCTCCGCTCAGTTGGCTCCAGTCTCCTGTTTGTCTCTCATGCTCTCTGCTCCACCATCGGTGGCCGTGCCTTCAGCCACTACGTCCGAAACTCTCTCCCTCAATCCCTCCGCCTTGCCCCTTCCCTCCCCACCTTCAAATCCCGCCTAAAGTCCTTCCTTTTTGATTGTGCTCATGGTCACTCCCCACTCCCCCCCACCCCGCCCCGGCTCATTTTCAGACTCCATCACTGTCAAGCACTCCGGGATGTTACCCCGTGTGAAGGGTGCTGTATCAATGAGAGTTGTTGTGTGTTGTTGCCAGATATGGTCAGTC